CCATAACAGATGGGTATCTGCATTACTGCTTAGTAAGTGCACCACTCCTTTACAATCAATGTATTTCAATTTTTTTTGTATTACTTCTTTCCATATTTGAAGACATTTAAGAAGATAAAACTTCACAAAAACGTGCAAAATGCTTTGGATATTCCACTCTAATATGTTTGTAAACATGGCAGTCTTAATGATTCACGATTCATTTAGAGCTCCATTATAAAATAAAATGAAACAAGACATCCCGTTCAAGTGCAAGCATGATTCTAGCAATGGTTCCCAAGTTCCAAGGTTGCAACCACCAACATCGAAATATTATACATTACCTACTACAATTTTGTCACAAAGGTACGGTCCAGGACATCTGTAAATATAATATAATATAATATAATATAATATAATATAATATAATATAATGTGCTGCTGATTCGAATTTTAATTGTTTCTAATGTTCCTTCTCTTTCTCATGAATATACAGTAAGATCAGCAGACGAGACAATTAATGTTTTGAACAGCCAAACGTCAATTTATGGCAATATGTTTTCATCTTATGTGATTTTGTTTTTCAGTATATACAACATAGGTCAAAAAGGCGGTCCCATCCCCAGTTTCATGTGCTTTTATTTATAAATGATCATATCACAGGAGTTAATTGCTATGAATGGTGATTTTCATTCCAGATACCGTAACTAACATGATTATTGGTACAGAAAATACAAACTAGCAGTTAAGATGTCCACATTTTATATCATTTATTCACATTTATCGCATGTACCTCCTCAGCTCCAACTGTCATTTCCACGGAGATAAAGAAATGCCCATTACATTGAAATGACACTACTAAGAGTCACCAAATTTAAACACATTTATCATTAGGGTGTGCTAGTTAAAGGTCACGTGTCTATTATCATGTGTGGCCACTGCGCACTGTATTTATCTCTTGTAGACGGTGCCACTGCCTTCAACAGGGGTAACAATTCTGTTTTGTAAGATAATGCCCCATGTTTCCTAAAAAGCTTGGCGGAATTAGTCCGGACTATTCAGAGTTTGGTTCTCCTCTGGATTGCACATTTCAATTCATGCCAGTAGGTTTATTATCAGGATCCAGCCTCAGAACATTGAGATTCTGCAACGAATCACTCACCACATGATAACTGTGAGCAAGTGTGCTGTCATAATCAAACCTGGATCACCCCCGAAGTCCCCTCTTGCAGAAGGAATGAGGTATCATTTGAGAATGTTAGGTTCAGTGACCCCAGTACTACCAGAACTTGGTCAACCATCACTAGGAACAAGTTGTTGTATGCCTTAAATGGTCAAATAAGGGCCCGTAGGCATGTTGCAGAATGCATTTTGGAAGGTTTGTGAAGGATAATATTGCCGAAGTGACACGTTTGGAGAGAATTGCAAGCCCACGGTTTGAGTGCATTGTTCTTTACGGAAAAGAACGTTGTTGGGGCAATTCACTGAAACGTCCTCAACAAATATCTCACTCCATTTGTAAGATGTGACTTCAAGGATACTGCAGGCGTCATCGTCTGCTGGGGGATTTGTTGCTGAAACCCAATGTTCAGAGGATAGAGAAACCACCTTTGAGCCCTGTTATTAACCTTACTAAACATCTGTGACATGAATTGAAATGTGCAATGTAAAGGAGAACCAAACTCCTAATAATCTGGACCAACTCCCCCAAGGTCTTTAGGAAGAATCGGACAATATCTAATCACACAGAATTGTTACCCTTGTTGAAGGCGAGCCCCGCCACCTAGAGAAGATAATTACAGTACGCGGTAAACACAAACACAATTAGACTAGGAGTTTTTAACGAGCACACCCTAATGCAAAATGTTTGTAAATTTGGTGCCATTTGGTGGTGTCATTTCAATTTAATAGACATTTCTTTACCCCTGTGAAAATCACAGTGAAACGTCGGATTTGAGGGGGTACATGTTATAAATGTGAATAAATATTGATATCTTCACGGCTAGTTTGTATTTTCTGTCTGACTTATCATGTTAGTTATGGCATCTGGAATGAAAATCACTATTTATAGCAATCTTCACCTGTGATGTGATCATTTATAAATAAAAGCACATGATACCGAAGGTGGGACAACCTTTGTTCTTTACGGAAAAGAACGTTATTGGGGCAATTCACTGAAACGTTCTCAACAAATATCTCACTCCATTTGTAAGAGGTGACCAATATTGTATTGCAGTTTTATCACAATCATCCCCTTTATTCAATAACCCTTAGAGGGGTTTCCTGAATTGGAGCTCCGTCACTGCGCATCTTGATTCAACGTCAGTTTCAGAGCAGGAAGCGGCTGCGCATTCATTCACGAGTATTCTCAGGAAACAGGGAAGAGTATTTAGTACTTGACCATCTCAGTGTTAAGGCTCGGGCATTAATTCGGTAAGAGCCATTACAGACCATTGCCAGCTATCATGTGCAGGTGCTATCACCCTATTGTAATTTTTGACTGAACATAATTTAAACTGTAACGTGACAGAGTTTTGTCAATCCTGCTACGTCGACCTGGGGATGGGAACAGGGTCTTAGATGAGTCTGAACTTACCTATTAGCGCCAAAGGCTTGATAACAAATCAGGTGGTGTCCGTGCTGTGCAGGGGCCGGAGTCCAGGTTATGTTAACCGAGGCCGTGGTACCATTTACAGTAACCATTGCACCCACATTAGCACCGGTTGGTGGAACGACGTTGATGGCAGTTATTCTGTATGTGTGGAAAGAAGTGGACGTTATGAATATAATATATGCATGGGTGTGGATTATGTGCTGTCATGTCGATACGCAGATTCCGTTGTCAACTGAAGTTTCAACTACATGGCGTTTTAAATTGTTGCCTGTTGTAGGCTGATAGAACAAGAAAGTGCTTACAAGTGCAAACATACCCACTGGGATACATTGCTATTAAGTCTTTCGTGAAGGTCTGCCCAGCACGTAGGTTTTTTGTATCTAGTGGAGTTATGAAAGTTGGCGGGTTGCCGCAATTACAACCATCCTTTATGAGAGCAAGATACTGAAATATCCAAGTTATTCATACATTATAAAACCCCAATTTATGAAAAATGAGAAATTTAGAAACACAATCATCAATTCAAAAAATCAATCAATCATTCAATCAATCAACCATTAAATAAACCAGTCATGTTTGCCTATGACAGTAAAAAGCAAAGTCAATCTCTGAATACGAAGCGATATTAAGCAAGTGGTACAGTAAATAAAGGGCCTTTTTAAAATGCGACTTTTCGCCGATCTGTCCTACAAACGGACACGTGTAGGTGACGTGTGCTGCCACGTGTGGAAACAAAAGGCAGGTTCATTCTGGTGGATAATTATGGACAAAAAACTACAAGGAGCAGCGTATGTGCAGAAGTTTACTCAGCAAGCTGGCTACGCGTTTTATAACTATCGAAACATTGCTATTTAAATAATAATGCCATGGGGTAGGCAACTATGATAGGGTAAACCATACCGTCCTTTCCAAGTTTTTTTTCTGATCGCCAATATTTTCATTTTTTTTTTTTTTTTATTTAAATACTTATATTAATTTTCCTGACCTGCAGCGGGACCTTTGACAATGGAGTTGTTACGTCTTTCTGCACTCCACCCTGTGTTATGTTTGTTGCAGGGAAATCTTCCAACATTATTGCTACTGCATAAAACCCACTGCCGTAAAGACTTCGCTTAGAAGACGGGATGATAAGGGTACAGTTCTGAAATAAATCAACTGATATTTTATCCACCAAAGCGTTGAGCCCGATATGTTCATTTTGCACTGCAGGATGTTAAGTATTTCTGTAGATAATAACTCACAGAAAGAGTAAGTTGTTTTGTTATATTAAAACGTAATTTCAGACTTGACATTTAAAATGGAATATTTTAGTTTCAAAGGTATGTCCAGGTAAGATAAGTCGTTTATTTTAAAAACGAGTATTTTGTGTGGGCTAATTTCATGTGATTAGAATAATGTGTATTCAGGTGTGTCAGTAACAATAAACCGATTACCTTGTCTGTACCTTGTCATTGGGTAGTACTATTTGGGCTGGTCCAGGTATGAGCATGGTAGAATATGATTCGATCAAAACACTTTCAATATGTTGGCATTAATTTCAAAGAGGGATTTAGAATTATGTATACGAGAGGCGGATATTAGGCTGCGTAAACTGTGTTACAGTATTGTTGTTCTGCGCCAACAGTGTACAAAACAGGTTGGTGAACCTGAACAGACGCCACGCCAAAGACATCCAGAACGTAACACCGGGGAACATGACCCATTGTTCTTACGCTTTAACTGCTACAAGTAAGCAAAAACAATCAATTCCCTTCAGAACGAGGAGCAAATTATCATCAAAAATAGTTTTCCAAGACCTATTGTCATAGCGAGACCGCTCTTAGCAAGTTTCTATACCAAACGCACCACTGACCGTTGCTGAACTTAGACGCTGATATAAGCGTCCTTTAAGGAACGTTTACGTATTTCTCTTTCACATACAGTAAATGGGAAAATATGGAAAGCGAAATAGCGCTTTTGCTAGTTGGTGTTTGACTAAGAATCAGCCACGTATTGTGTTTGCTTAATTAGGCAAATTCAATTAAATAACAGATGTCAAATTTCCACTGAATAGACAATTGAAAGTTCAATAAACACAATTTGATCCTTGCTTTCATTTAGCAGTAAAAAAATGATTTATATGTGTGTGTGTGTGTGTGTGTTTTTTTTGTTTTTTTTTTTGTGTGTTCATGGCGGTAAGGAAGAAAATGAGATAGAAAGTTTACGTACTGGATACAAAGTTGACCCCGGAAGTGGCCCACATACGCCGGCACACTCAGAATATCCACTTGCCCAGCGACATCTTACAATATCCCCATCTACATCAACACTCGGGATGTCAAATTGATAGCCACATGTGACATCCATGCTATTGAAAATAAAAATAATGACAAGAACCATTTAAATTATAGTGGATCAATACGTTATTAACGGGCTCCCTAGCGAATTGTATTGACTTGATGTGCACTAATATTAGACTTCTGTGATTATAGTCATGTGATGATCCGTGAAGATTTACTTGCACTAAACACCAAGTACTTACTTAACCATGGGGCTACTTGTGGTTACTGGGCTTGCATTTGGTTTTCCAGTGTCATTTCGGATACCAGCATTATATTTGGTTGTAATTGTCCATCTTTTCCTAAATCCTGTTTCCAGTGTTATCCAGCAACAGTCGGTAAATCTGAGATGTTTAAAATGTGGAATGAGACACACAAATACAAGTACAGGGGTATCTGTTGAACAAATTTAATAATTTGCTTTAAAACGACCAAGTGATATTATGCATCATTTAGGCCATGAGCTGTACATTTTATCTAATGGGCCTGATTTGGTCTTACAGTGCAATTTAAGACTCAAACTAGTATGAGAATTAAGGGATAACAACTGTTCATTTTGGTCAAAAATGAATTTTCCTGGGGTATACAGCAATTTTCCCATATTTACCAATTGTTAATGAATCCATTTCTACATGAAAAATAAGTCCTGTTTTTTATTTATTGATTTATTTATTTATTTATTTATTTATTTATTTATTTTTTAATTTTGTAATACTCTCTTAAGCCATCTGTGGAGGTCACGTGGTCAGATGACAAGCACAGATTTCATATTCATTGATGCCGTTTTTTTTTTTTTTTTTTTTTTTTTTTAAAATAGAATAATTTTTTTTTTTTTTTGGTTTTTTTATTTTTTTTATTCGTGAAATTTTAGATTTCTTACGAATAGTTGTTTTCCTTTTANCTATGAGTTGTTTACAATGTATTTATCGTGAAATTTAGATTTCATACGAATAGTTGTTATCCTTTTAAGTAAGGTGTATTAATTTGATCTTAAGACTAAAGACGAACTGAAAGTCCAGTGATTAAGACTATAATTGGTCTGACTTCAACTGAAGTGGTAAAGCAGTTGTTTCCCCTTACACATTTAGTCCAAACTAAGACTGACTTTCCAGCCAGCCAGGTGAAGATAGCAACCAAGAAAAGGGCCAATTTTTGAGTAGCAAAGGGTCGTCTCTTGTCAAGTAAGTGCCAATTGCCTTTTTGCTAAAGGGTGATTCCGATACCATCTCAGATAATTTCTAAAGCAAGGAAAGACTTGGTTGTAGAAGTACTAGAGCAGCATACTTTTAATGTTTTTACATCAAAGCCTAAAATATAGCTTCAAAAGCAATAAAAAAGGTATATTTACTTTAAGATAAGACATGCCTTTTTATTTGTCAAAATCATTTGAAAAGTCACTTCAATGTACCAGAAAAATAAAATTTTATTTAAAATCGTATTATACTGTAGGCATCCAATATTAAAATTTCACATTTAAAACAATATTTTTGTGATTTTTGCTTTTAAAGGAAGTCAGACCAATTATGGTCTTACTCACTGGACTTTCAGTTCGTTTTTAGTCTTAAAATCAAATTAAGATCCCTTACTCGATTTTTAAGATCGCCTCAGACTCACCTCAGTTTTAGTCTTAAATTGCACTTTAATACCAAATCAGACCCACTAGTGTTGATATCGAAAGAGGGGCGAGTTATCATAGTGATTTTAGTAAGGCCTATGTCTCTAATGTCCAAATATGTGGGATAGCAGTATATTGCACACTTATAAAGCTCCAACCCACCAGGGACAATTGCTTTTTTTTTCAGATGGGGGTAGGGAAAAGGAATTGCTTACTATATCAGAACGATAAAGATATATCAATATATCATATATCATTTTGGAGGCAGTGGATGAGACATTTAATTTCATAAGTCAAAGATTCGTGACAATTAGTCAGGAGTCATTGATATTGGGTCAGAGGTCACAAGAGGTCACAGTTTATGGGTTTCTCAAAATTCAAACAAAAAAGTTTCTTAAAACATTGTTTGAATAAATGTTTTAATATTTGAGGAATGATTTGTGACCACGCTGAAGGGCAATACTTATGACGATTTGGAGCCTCAAGAATTTTATTTCAGAAAATTATGAAATTGAACGTGAGGCGAACAGTCTTAATATCCCTTATTTGAAAGTTGTGTAATGGAGGAGAAAGTGCTTTCTACATCAACATGCTAAAATATATCAATGAAAGTAAGGGATGGGACATAAAAACATGGCATTTAGTCGAGGGTCAGTGATAATGGGCCAAACGTCAGAAGAGGGTCATATTTCATGGATTTTTTTTTCTTAAAATTAAGCCATTTTTTTAAACATAACTTGAGAAAAAAAATGGTATAATTTGTATTTTGTCAATGAATCATGAACATGTTATACACCAAAAGCCTGTGATAAAGCCATGTCTCATTAGAAATAGGCCAAAATTTCGGCCAGGGCAAAATTCAGCAAAAAAGTATATAATAATAATAATAATAATAATAATAATAATAATAATATATATATATATATATATATATATATATATATATATATATATATATATATATATATATATATATATATATATAATTTTAGCACTGTTTAAAAATAACATTTTAAGGTTATAGAAATGATTATTTGATTTGAGAAGCCTTCTTCACAGAGTCTGAGGCCTTAGGTATTGTTCAATTTGGAAGACATCAGGTAAATAAGTATTGTACCATGTGCAATATCTAAAATATATTAATCTATTCCTTTACTTTTTACAGTGGTAGTAATAATTTTGTTTCCGTTGTACACCGGTTTAACAACGTTTGAAATGTTTTAATCCCTATCTGGTGAATAGAAGGGTGCGGACAAACAATGGAGGGCCGTATAAATCCCTTCAAAATTCGAACGCACAAACACAATAGCTTAGGTGGAATAACACAATACTTAAGACGAGTGAACCCCATGACGCCGATTTCTGTGGTCCAGTGCGACAAGACAATCCGCTGTAACTAGGTGTAATTAACTGCAGAATACATCAGCCAGAAGGTTCCCATTGTTTGTTGCGGCGATAGGATTATAGCTTTAAGAGGCTAGATCCCATGCTAACGCGTGCCACGCGTAGCGAACTGTCCTTTTGTTCACTAGTTTGGCACGCGCAGCTGATTATGTTTTTAGTGTTGCTTACAAACTGCTAGTTAATTTTGTCATCAGTTATTTCATCCAATATGACATTTCCGCAGTCAAAAATTGAACTAAGTATTGTTTGTTTGAGTGACATGCATGAGCGTCAGCATCAATCTGTCTCAAAAAATTCTTCTTGCATTAATTTATAAATGTATAATTTATTGATAAACGTACTGCATTCAAGTATTTATAAAACATGAATGATAATGAATGAGGAATAAGGAAAGAATATATTACTTATACTATACTTATACATGTATTATAATATTGAAATTAAATGAGGTGGATTGACAGAGCCGCAAGGACAATCCAAATCCAACGTGCAACCGGGGGAAGTCTGACTGTGTGATCATACAATTTATGAAAGTACGGTCAATTAACAGTGTAAATCATCAGTTAAAGAGGAGGGGGTCTTACTATAGCTCATTATCTATTGGTAAACTGTTATTATCTCTCGAACAAGCTTAAACCATGCCTATACAATTACTGTGATCATCGTAACTGTTTAGCTACTCGCCTATAATGCGTGCTGAACGACAGACAACTTATAAATGTTTTCTGTGTTACTGTGTAAATGAATACAGTTAGTTAAATTATAGCGAAGTCGGTGATTTAATCCATCCAACATATTTATATTTGTTCTTTTAAAACCAGTGTCAGGTTAACGCCAAATCAAAGCAAGCCTTGCAGACTGGTTTTGTTTAAACTGTCGTATATTAAGTAAAGCTAAGTAAAGCCTGTTTCTACTTCGCAGTGTTCATCCCAGCTATAAAACTGCATGAAGGATAACAAGACTCCGTAGCGAATTAACTTTCACAATGCCCTGTGCTTCAGGTTTCCAGGAGTCCCGTGTAACACAATAATATCGAAGAGTATGGCCTGAGAGTAATACAAGTATGAGGCAGTGTATGAAAGACTTTACAAATTAGAAAATCAAGAATTTAAACATGCTATGTACATGCACATCACTTTATAAGTCATTTCACAAAAATCACATCTAATTGTTTAGATTAACCTCTACATTTATCGATCTCATCGCTTTGTCTCAACCATCTAAAAGAAATATAGTGCACATGAGGAAAAGTAACATGTTTACATGCAGGCGAAGGAGGTATACTTCAATATTAATCGCGAACAATATCAACAGCGACTCAAGACCGTTGCCTGTCTTTCACACTTTTAGACAAACACACGAAGGTTTAAAAAGGGAGTCGCGGCGCGATATCTATCTCTTTCTTTCGAACAAGCAAAGGACTGACCCGAAGTAAGCTTTCTAATCTAATTTCCTTTTTTTCGTATATTGTAATTAATCCGCTTGCTCTCCTCCATTGTCTTGTAAAAGCGACAAAGAATGTGTTGTATTCACACACAAGTTGAAAGAACTTTGCATAACTCCTTTGCCTTGTTGCAGAATGTCTTTCTCAAGGTTATTATCAGTGTGAAGAGGGTGTCTTGCCTCATTTAAAAAGGGAGTTGTTCTGCATACTGGTTGTTGCTTAACTTATGATAACCTACTCTGTACAAATATGGTTTCAATAAATCGCCAAAATTATGACATTAATGAACATTGTGTATCAAACGTTTTGCTACGATTTAAATAAATGAACAAGAAGGATTACGATATTAGTTACTATTTACCTCTGTCGTTAATTTCGCCCTGTTATATAAATGAACAAATGTTGCAGATTGTAACAAAATAAACTTCCTTATAGTGTTTTTATGACATATGATGTACACATTTGATAGTGAAACACTCCTCGGCTTTAACGAATCACCT